CTGACACCTGAACTAGAATATAGGAATTAAAAATGAAAAAAATTATGGGAGAACAACATAGAAAGTGATAATGACATCTTTTTATTCACATATTTATAAATAGGCAACTATTATAAATAGAAATATTTGTAAAGATTAAAAAATATGTAAGAGACTGGAAAAATATATACATAAATATTATAAATAATTAGCTCTGAGTGGTAAAGATTTGGTGATAATTAGTTCCTCTTTTGCAGTTTCCTGCATTTTCAAATTTTCTACAAAACTATGTATTACTGTTTTAAAAATCTGAATAAAATATTGACTTTGAAATATCTGACTTGCTTTGAGTATATTCTTTGTTCACATAGTATCACCAGTGCCATATTCTTGCCTAAAAGGAGTAGGTAACACTTTCTATGACCTTTCTAAAATTTAATTCTTAGAGAATTAGACAGGAGATTTCATTATTAGCCAAAGGGCCAAGCACAATGACCTGAACCAGGAAGTAGCTACCCTGCTTTAGTTTTGTTGACACAAGGGCTGATACTTTGTTCTTTCAGATTTTATTGACTGAGCATGTTCTTAATTAGAGGTCGGGTTCAAAGTCATGAAAAGCCACAGAAGGAGAATGTTAGGCACTAGGAGAATCTGAGAGTCCTTGTGTACAGCTCCCTCATTTTGCCAGGTGAAGAAAACAAGAGGCAGAAAGGTTGGCTACCTGCCCAGGGCAAGCCAGTCGGCTTTGGGCAGCGATCCCTGATGGTTTCCATGACGATCTCTGCATAGTAAGTGGAAGTAAATGAGGGAGAAAAAGGAACCACAGGGATTTCAGCAACGTTTTGGCCTACATAACAATAAAACATCAGGAATTGGTAACAATTATGGCCAGGCTAACTAGAGTGTGTCTATTTTTTAAGAGAAATGTTACTCTTTAACCACTTCTCCGTTTCTCTTTGTCTGGGAAACCACTCTGTAACCACTCTAACCACTGTTGTTACTGTAACAACGCATGGTGTAACTGTCACTGCAGGGACCCGCCACACAGCAGGTGTGTCTCAGGAACCAAACTTGCTAAGTCTTCACGGCTTTTTCTTCCAAGATACTGGCTTCAAAGACAAAACAAACAAACAAACATGGTTTTACTGAGGTATAATTTATCTACAGTAAAATGCACAGTTCAGTTTTGACAAATGCATACACACAAATAACCAACACTCTAATGGAGATATAGAACATTTCTACCACCCTAGAAAAATTTCTCATGTCTCTTTCCAATCTACTCCCCCTTCTGATTTCTAACCATAGGTTAGTTTCGTCCATTCTATAACTTTATATAAATGCAGTCATTCAGTATGAACTCTTTTGTGTCTGGCCTTTTCACTCAGCATGTTGTTGGAGGTTCATCCATGCCGTGGAGTACGTCATAATTTATTCCTTTTCTGTTGTGGAGTAGTGGTCTATTGAAAAAATATGCCACAGTTCTCGTCCCCTGCCACCCTCTTGTTGAAGGACACCTGGACTATTTTCATTTTTGCCCAAATCCTAGCACCACTTTCTCCAAATAATAACCAGTTTGGGGAATTGGATTTTGTTATTTTTAAGATTCTACCTTCCACTGATAGTTAGATTTTTCAAGGGCCTTTCTCCCTTCATTTCCTCTCCAAGTAAATCATAGTCCATACATGCAAGTGGAGAAGAATGAATTGGGTAATATTGAAGATGGGAAAATTTTTTTATTCATCATACTAGACATAAACACTAAATGTGGAAAGCAATATCCTGGCCAGTCTCACAATCTAATTTTGAAAAGGTTTAGTAAACCTTCAAGGGGTGCGAGGGGAAGGCAGCAATAGTGCCAAACTATTGCATTTAAAGTATTACCAGGGCTTCAATAAATATTCCAATTACAGCTTGTATTTATTGAGCATTAACCAATTGAGCATTAACTAAATGTTAGACGTGCAATTATTTCATTCAATCCTTGTGCTTGATGTAGGTACATTTATTATCCCAATTTCAGGAAAGGCACGTGGAAGCTCAGAGAGCACAAAGAAATACATAAATGCATATATAGATGACTCTCAAAGGTGCATATATGAAGCAAATCATAAGAACTTAAAGGAAGTGAAGATGTCAATTTTTAGGTGGAACTGTGAAACTAAATAGTATTAATAACATTTCTACTTTCCCTTTTCATTAGCATTTTGCAAATCCCTCTTAAGCCATATGACCTCTCTGTTGACGTTCATTGACTCTGGATGGGAGTGGTGTGTGGCATTTGCCTCCCAAGGAATTACGAACCAGCTGGGCAATTGTAGTTTTACAAACAGAGTAACTTAACCCCATTCTTCATAACACAATTATAAGTGCTTAGCTATTTCAGGTATACCATAACCAGCAACTCTGGCCCAAATCCACGTAGGGCAAGAGGGATTTCAGTGGGAAAGTGGGTGGTTTAAAATCATCTTTGGGCCCTCAATAAAAATACTTTTTTCCTTAATGCTTCCACTGTCTTGTTTACTGTCTCTTCCTGCCCAAAAGATCTTTTAGTATTCTCTTCCTCTGCTGCTTCCACGTATTACTTTATTCACCTATTTAAAATACGAAAGATGAAGCGGAAAGTGTTCCTTTATCTAGCAAAAATGCCCTGAATGTGATTTGGGGAAATTCATCCTTAACAACTTCAACGCCAGCGTCGACTAGAGTGGCCAGCCACAGACGAAGGCCGCGCGGAGGAGCCACGGGCTGCGGCCTGGCCCAGGGGATGCTTTGGCTTTCGCGGGCCGTCTCTGCAGCTGCAGAGTGTGCGCTCAGCGAGTAAGTTACTACGGATCTGGGACCTTTTAACAAGCCCTTCCTAGGAGTTGCTATAGTATTTTCCTAAAGCTGCCTGCAAAGTGACCGAGCTTTCAGTGCCTCCGAGCTGCCCGTCCCGAGGGCAGAGGGCGCCGGGCCCGCGGTTACGAGACGCTGGATGAGCTGTGCGGCTTCTTGTTTAAAACAGTTCGTTGATAATATTATGAACAATACAGCTTCCTGTATTAGTTTGCGAGGGCTGTCATAAAAAGCAACACAGGCCAGGTGGTTCAGACACCCCCAATGTCCCTCACAGTTCTGGAGACTAGCGGGCACGCGGCAGGGCGCTGCGGGCGGCTGTCCTCAGGCGTCCGGCCTCCCTGGCTGCCTCTCCCTGTGCCCGGGCCTCTTCTTTTGAAGACGCTGGTCACCTTGGATTACGGCCCATCCATGGGACCGCACTTTAGCTTAATTACCTCTTCAAAGGCCCTTTCTGCAAATACAGTCACATTCCGAAGTCCTTGGGATTAGGACTACAGCAAGAGTTGGAGAGAGGCCACAGTTCAGCCCTTAACGCTTCCTGTCTGCTCACAGACCTGTCAACCTAACCAACACGGGACAGTATTTAGGGAACCGCCACAAACGCAGTTCTATCCCGCACAGTGTAAGAAGGCAGCTGTCAGAGTTGTTAGATTAGTCCCATGTTCAACTATTTAAAAATCATTTGTGATCCTATTTGTTTGTAAGGAAAAATGTTAGCTGCTACTGTTTTAGAGGGCTAGCCTCTAACGAGAGTAAGATGACAAGGTGAAGATCATATCTGCAAACAAGTAGTTTAAATTTTTTTTCTTTTTCTTTAGAATCAACATTAGTGAGAAAGTTTAAATATTTTTAATTCTCTAATTTAAAAATTCAAAAAATGAGAAAATCTAGCAAGTAATGGTTAATTACAGAAGATGTGCGATGTGTTTATTTTGGGGTTGTAAGCTTAGAACAACTTATGAAAAGCATGTCATAAAGAGTGAGAACAGTGTGGCCTTGAAATTTAGCATAATCCTTCTGGCAGCACTTATTTATAGAAAAATATAAAAAGGATGATGGAATGAATCAAGAGGGCTCATCATGCTCTCTTTGGTCACACCTTTAGAAGTACAGCGTGCTGTTTCAACTTTTAATACAGAGAGAAGAATGAATGGAAAGGACCATACCAAAGAGTGGTTCAATACATACAATTCTACAGTTAATGGAACATAAATAGAAACCACAAGATTTGGCCTTCAGAAGACAGAAAGGAAAGCCATTATCAGGGAAGATAAAAGAAGGACTTTGTTTTGCAAGTGTTATCCAATTCGTATTTGATATTTCAACCTCAGCATTTCAAAGCTGGTCAAATACCAACAATAACATTGCCGCACCTCCCGCAAGCGACTTTATGTTGGCTAGCTGCTTAAATCCCCAAGCAAATTCTTGTCTCTCTCTATCTGGATTTAAATCTTAATACATATTCTGCTTCACCCCGGCCGCCCCCAGAAATGGACACTGAGCTTTTACCCTCCGCACAAAAGGCCCGGGCTGCCCTGCCCCACTCCCCTGCCCGCCGCCCTTCCGCAGCGCTGGCCGGCGACCCGGGCACGCTCCGCTCTTCTGGCCTCGCCAGCACCCTGCTTCCCCGTGTGCAGGAGAGGGCCTTTTCTTCCTGCCACTCTCGGTGTGGATACGGAAGTCGTTGTCTGTTTGCTACCAGGAACGACACACCAGAGCCTTCCGGGCAGCAGGGTGGGGACCCCAGCGGCCCAGCTCGGGGCAGAGGCGCTGGTGTTGCGGCCGCGTCCTCGCAGGACCGGTGCCCGCTGCCGGCGCGCAGCACAGACCTTGGCTCGGTTTCTGCGCGGACAGCGTTTCGGCCTGTCGCCTGGCGGACGAAGGACACGAGCAAACTGGCAGCCGAGGTGGTTCGCTCGCGAGGCGCCTCTCTCCGGGCTGCTCCTAAAATATTATTTCCCTCGATCCCCGATGGGGCGCGGCCGGACCCCGCCGCCAGCCGCGGCCCTGCGCCCCGCAGCGCGCTCGGTCCGCCCTACACGCCGGCCGGCCCGGGGCGGGCAGCGCGCGCAGCCAATCCGGCGGCCCCCCCCCCCCGCCTCGCCCCCCTCGCCGCCCCGCCCCACCCGCCTCGCCGCGCACCGCCCCGGCCTCGGCTCGCCTCGGCCGTCGCACCGCCGGGGCAGCTAGCGGAGCCGGGCCGCACACGGCGAGCCGACCATGTCCTCCCCGGCGCCGCCGCAGCCCCCGACAGGGGACCCGCCCTGGCCCGCGCTGCTGCTCTGCGGCCTGGTCGCGCTGCTCGGCTGGAGCTGGCTGCGGTGGCGCCGCGCGCCGGGCATCCCGCCGGGGCCCACGCCCTGGCCGCTGGTGGGCAACTTCGGCTACGTGCTGCTGCCCCCCTTCCTGCGGCGGCAGCGCTGGCTGAGCTGCCGGGCGAGGGCCGCGGGCACGGGCGCCACGGCGCTGGCCCCGCAGGTGCTCCTGGCTGAGCTGGCCCGCGTGTACGGCAGCGTCTTCAGCTTCTTCATCGGCCACCACCTGGTGGTGGTCCTCAACGACTTCCGCAGCGTGCGCGAGGCGCTGGTGCACCAAGCGGAGGTCTTCAGCGACCGCCCGCGGGTGCCGCTCATCTCCATCGTCACCAAGGAGAAGGGTGAGCCGGGGCCAGGGCTGTGTGTCCCCGACGTGCGGGTGGGCGTCCAGGTGCGGGAGGGCCGCCAGGTGCGCCGGGGCCGCGGTGTCCGCGTCCTTGCCAGCTGCGCGCCGAGCCCTCCTGTGCCCGCCCTGACGGGGCGCGGGGCGCGGGGCGCGGGGCGGCGGCGCTCCCCTTCCGGGCGCCTTGAAGATCCCACGCAGCAGCCGCAGACGCGGGACTCCTTCGCCTTCCAAGACCAGAATAGGAGACCGGCCTGGAAGCCGAGGGAGGCGACGGGCAGGGAGGACGACACGGTGCGAGGCCAGGCTGTCTCTCCGGAACTCTGTCCTTCCCTCCGGCTTCGGGCTGCGACACCGCAGAGAGACTTTGCCGTGTTAGAGAGAAAGATACTCTTTTCATCCTGTGAGTTGCGAATGCAAGAGTTTAAGAAGCTGTTTTCCAGTAAGATAGCAAGTCCGAAAACACGGTAGGTAGGACCCGGTTTCTTACCAAACGCTGGTTCATAGCGTCTGGATTCCTGCTCATGGGAGTCTAAATCGGGCATTTTTGTGGTTTACAGAACATGTGATCTGCAGTGGAATAACCAATTTACTCTTTCTCCAGCTCCCTCCGCCTTTGTCTCCCTGTCTTCTACTTGGGTCGCTAGCTGGCGAGGTCTCCGACTTGAGTCTCTCCTGTGTGTCAGGAGTCAGTTTAAGTGCCGTTTCCTCAGGGGAGTCTTTTCTCCCTGCCTCTGGGAGTAGGTTGGGCTCTCTTGTCAGTGCCACGTTCATTGCGCAAGCACTTTTCAAAACTGAAGCGGCATGATTTCGTGACCTTGGGCCTGGATGTGTGTTTTCACCACTGGACTAAGTGACATCTAGGAGGACCAGTCATGACTGCCTGGTACATAGTAGGAGCTCAACAAGGATTTATCAAGTAAATGAACTGCTCTTTCCGGTACCTAGAACATGGCATGGAGAGATCCAGGCTTGGTGGGCTCTGATAAAGCCAGAGTTTTGCATCAGGATTTTAAACTCATGGCAATGGTTCTCATAATACTTTAAATGGGGCACAAATCATGAAGAAAAAGCTTGATAAATCCAACTATCTCTGTATTTAAAATTTGTTTATCAAATAGTACCATTTAAAAAGTGCAAAAACAATTCATATGACCAGAGAAGAAATCTGCTATGTATCTAGAACATATAAGAAAAAGAAAATTACATAGTAGATAAGTAATTACAGAATAGGAAACCTGGCCAATAACAAGATGAAAAGCTGCTCTGACCCATGGTAAGAATCAGAGAAATGCAAATAAAATTTAGATGAGATACATTTCAGCCTTCTGATGGCAAAAAATAAAAAATATTGACAAGTACCAAGTGATGGGAACTCTTTGGAACAAGTGAGAACATTTATATGCTTCTAGTGGTTACACTTTTGGTGTACCGCCCACTTTGGAGGGTAATTTGGCAAAGTCTAGTCATGTTGAAGATGTACATATTTTGTAACTCATCAGTCCACTTTTAGCAGTGTCCTCAAAATTCTGAGGAAGTGGGACTGTAAACTAGTTCAACCTTTGTGGAAAGCAATATGGAAATAACTTAAAGCGATATGAGTGGATCTACCATTTGATCCAGCAATCCATTACTGGGCATCTACCCAAAAGAAGAAAAGTCACTCTATGAAAAAGACACCTGCACTCTAATGTTTATAGCAGCACAATTCACAATTGCAAAGTTGTGGAAACAACCCAAGTGCCCATCAATACATGAGTGGATTAATAAAATGTGGTATATGTATACCCTGGAGTACTATTCAGCTGTAAGAAACAATGGTGATATAGCACCTCTTTATTTTCCTGGCTACAGCTGGAACCCATTCTATTCAGTGAAGTATCCCAAGAATGGAAAAATAAGCACCACATTTACTCACCAGCAAATTGGTATTAACTGATCAACACCTAAGTGGACATATAGGAGTAACATTTATCGGGTGTTGGGCAGGTGCGGGGGAGGAGATGGGCATATACAAACAATGAATGTGATGCGCACCAACTGGGGGATGGGCACGCTTGAAGCTCTGACTCCATAGGGGCGGGGGGGCAGGGCCAATATACGCAACCTTAACATTTGTACCCTCACAATATGCTGGAAAAAAATTTTAAAAATTAAAAAAAATCTGAGGAAGTCTAATGGTAGAATAAATACATATTTAGACATGCAAAATAGAAATTTTCCTCCCATGCATCCTTTCTCAGAAACCACTACAGGATGTGTGTGCTTCAGCAAAATGAGAGAGTAAAACAAGAAAGAGGAAGATAAAGAATCCAGGAAATGGCTTCCAACACAGTCTAAGGAAATTCCTAAATGCTGACAAATGGAAGTCAAAGTACCTGAACAGAAGCCCAAGAGAGCAAGCACAGCAGATTTGAGCAGACGCTCGGAGGATTCCGAGGAGGAAAATGGAACTGATAAATTGTGTGATCCATGCTTGACCACATACATGGATGTTTACATTGAAAGATATTTTTACAGAGGTATTAAAGACTGTGAGAACACTTGACCACTGAACAATGTCTTGGTTTCATCTGCAGCTGTTTCCATGGCACCCGGTGCCTGGCACATTGTAAGAATTCAGAAATGCTACAGGAAGGAAGGAGAACTGCCTGAAATGATAAAGCACACCATGGAAAACAGGGGGTGAAATAGGTGACAGGAAACAAGGACTGTCTGAGAAGAATAGTGTGATGCAACGTCCAGGAGCAGTTTTGTTGGCTTTGATGGTGTAGATGTAGAAGAGAGGATTAAATAAGATGTATTGTGAATGACTTTAATGAGTTCAGATGTTTTTTGATCAGGCTGTTGCTAACAACAGACATTTTAGATTACCTGCTAGGAATTAGATTCCAAACTTTGATGGCCAATCATTCTAATCCAGTTAGGCTGTTTATTTAGTCAGCTGATATTTAGCAACCTCATCCTGTGTGCCAAGCACTAGGCCAGAAGCTGGGATTTTAATGGTGAGCACCGTCAGGTGTGGTCTTTGCCCTCATGTCAACCTGTAACTATACTTTGGTTCAGAATGTGCAGAATGTAAGCATCTAGAATATGGGTATATCTAGCCTAAAGTATCTTGTAAGCCTGGATTCACGCTCATGAAATATAAGACTTTAAAATGCCCACTAACCTTGGAAACCTAGGGCTTTTCATTTCACCAGACATTACTCTCCATAATAGTAAACTTTAAAGCAAATTCTCCTAATTTAATTGGGTATGATTTTTGTTATTAGAAACATATTTTCTTGATAACTAAATTTTGTTAATCATTCTTCTTGACTAGTGGTCTTTATCAGTATATGAGCTTATAAGACACTTGACAAATACTGAATCCATTTCATGGTAGGTCCTGTTCAGAAGTATTGGAATGCTCTCTCTTACCTTCCTTTCCTGGTGTTCCTTTGCAGGAGTTGTGTTTGCACATTATGGACCAGTGTGGAGACAACAGAGGAAGTTCTCTCATTCAACTCTTCGTCATTTTGGGTTGGGAAAGCTTAGTTTGGAGCCCAAGATTATTGAGGAGTTCAAATATGTGAAGGAAGAAATGCAGAAGCATGGAGAAGAGCCCTTCTGCCCTTCCCCCATTGTCAGCAATGCCGTCTCTAACATCATTTGCTCCCTGTGCTTTGGCCAGCGCTTTGATTACACCAATAGTGAGTTTAAGAAACTGCTTGGTTTTATGTCACGAGGGTTAGAAATCTGCATAAACAGCCAGCTCCTCCTGGTCAACATATGCTCCTGGCTTTATTACCTCCCTTTTGGACCATTTAAGGAATTAAGACAAATTGAAAAGGATATAACCAGTTTCCTTAAGAAAATCATCAAAGACCATCAAGAGTCTCTGAATGGAGAGAACCCTCAGGACTTCATAGACATGTACCTTCTCCACATGGAAGAGGAGAGGAAAAATAATAGCAACAGCAGTTTTAACGAAGAATACTTATTTTATATCATTGGAGATCTTTTCATTGCTGGGACTGATACCACCACTAACTCTTTGCTTTGGTGCCTGCTGTATATGTCACTGAACCCCAATGTACAAGGTAATTAATAGGTGTTTCCTGTATTCATGGCAAAGCCAGGTTATTTAAATCAGGATTAACTTCAGTGATCTGGTGGCTCCTAGCACTAAGCAATGTCTTCAGGCTGGGAAACACAATAAATACTTGCATCTCATAGGAAGTTGGTAAGGTACTAACAGTGAAACCCCAAGTTTCTAGACAGCAGGACTAATCGTAACTTGCTTATTTCTGCTTTAATCTCTACAGTCTGATTCTGTGAAATCTATGATGCCGAAAGACCTTTAGAGAAGAATATTCTAGAGCTGAAGGGAATCATAATGCTCATCTGAATCCATTCATCTTGTTTTGAAAATGGAAAACAGAGACTCAGAGAGGTTGTGTGACTTACACAAGGTCACAGCTAGTTCCACCACCTTAGCACCAATGGACAGTTCACAGTGGAAGAATACAGGGAAGGATGGTGTCTTAGTTTCTTTGCTGATATAACAAATCACCACAAATGTAATGGCTTAAAATAGCACAAATTTGTTATCTTATAGTCATACACACTAGAAGTCTGATAAGTATCTCACTGGGCTAAAAGTCAAGATGTTGGCAGGGCTGCACTCCCTTCTGGAGGCTCTGCGGGAGAGTCCATTTCCTGCTGTGTCCAGCTTCCTTGGCTCATGGCCACCTTCCTCCGTCTCCAAAGCCAGCAATGGTGCGTCTCTCTGACCATTCTTCTGTAGTCAAATCTCCTGATGCTGAGCTCAAGTGGGCCGTGTTCTCTGATGTTAAAGCCCACGAACTTAGATGGGCACAGCTAGATAATCTCTCCTTCTCTAGGTCAATGATTAATCACACCAGCATAGTCCCTTTTGCAGTGTAAGGTATTGTATTTACATGTTACAGGAGATTAGGGGTGTGGACATCTTGGAGGGGCCATTATCCTGCCTACCTGCATCAGTCAACTATTGCTGAGTAACAAATTAACCCAAAATTTAGCAGCTTCAAACAACCACCATTTATTATCTCACATAGTTTCTGAAGATCAGGAGTCGAGGAGTGGCTTAACCCGGGCGGTTCCAGTTTAGGGTTTCTCGTGAAGTTGTTGTCAGGATGTTGGCAGGGGCCGCAGTCATCTATAGATTTGACTGGGACTGAAGGATCCATTTCTGAGATGGCTATCCACATGACTGTTGGCCGGAGGCCGCAGCTCCTTACCGCTCTGACCTTTCCATAAAGCGAAAGACCTAATGAGAGTGAGTGACAATGATGAGCATGTCTTATAACCCAATCTCAGAAGTGGCATGCTTTACTTCTGCCTTGTTCTGTTGGTCACACAGGCCAACTTGGAACAGGGTGGGAGGGGACCGCACAGGATATGGACCCCAAGTGTGGGGGTAATTGAGGGCCACCCTGAACTGTCACACGTTGTCACAGTCAGCTTAGGGCGTCAAGCCATACTCAAACGAGACTATTGTTGAGGGAGCTCCTGAATCCAGAGTGCCCTGCGCTCCTCTTTCAGAGTCACAGGGTGGCGCGCTCTTCCTGGGGCAGCTGCCTCCGCCTGGCCGGTGTGACCCAGGCCTTGCTGCCAGCCTACCGGCTGTGTGCGAGTGGCGCTGGGAAGTAGGCACAGGAGGGCCAGCCCAACTCTCTCCTGGGCTTATCTTCTGGTTGATTCTTTCCTTTTTGTATAGAAAAGGTTCATGAAGAAATCGAAAGGGTCATTGGTGCCAACCGAGCCCCGTCCCTCACAGACAAGGCCCAGATGCCTTACACGGAAGCCACAATCATGGAGGTGCAAAGGCTGAGTGTGGTGGTGCCGCTCGCCATTCCTCACAGGACCTCGGAGAAAACAGGCAAGTCCAGGGTCTTCCTCCCTGAGCAGCCCTGAGGGAAGCATGGCCGCCCATCCAGTGGCGTGAGGCGAGGGGTGCGGCGCCCGTTGTCTCGCTTGATCCTTCTGTGCGTTTAGCATTGTGTCGGCTATAAAGAAATGTCCAGGGAACATCTCAGCCCTGGGTTGTCCCTTGTTAGTTGGGCTGGCGTTCCACCCTGCTCAGTGGTACCAGCAGCTCTCTGGCCTTCTCAGCACACATGCTGATACCGGCAAAACAAATAATGCTGCGGTTTAAATCAGCCATGCTGGCAGAAGAAAACTCTAGAATGGACAAAGGCACTTCTCAGTCCTTTTCATGGAGGTAGGAAGAGCCAGTCTCAATGTGGAATTAAGGACTTTAGTTGGAAATTATCTTCAATTTTTAAAATTCTACTGTCATAGCATAAATATTAAAGATTAGAAGAGCCCATCTGATTCTAGGGTCACCTGTTTCAACCTCTCACCTACAGTGAAACAGGTACATTATTTGGGCACGGCCAGACTGTCTTTAAATATCCCTATCACCAAGGAATTCACCTCTTCTGAAGACAGCCCATAATATAATGGGCTAGATCCACTTATGTTAATAAGACAATTATAGGAGGCAGGTGCTTATAAATGACACTGCATCACATAACAGTTTTTTTGGTGCAAATTAGAAGCACTGTGTGTACAGTGTCTTTTCGGCATTGTTTAGAGAGTGGATATTGACTTGTCACTTGATAAAAGCCAGGGGTGATCTGTGTACATCCCTTTGTCTTAGTTTACCTTCCTTATCATATTGTTGTATGGGCATAAATGACTATAGACTGTTAAGTTTTATACAAATATTAGGAATTTGTAATTCTTAGGGAAAGTTTACTTGGAATGCCCTATTATTTCTGTTGTAGTTTTTTTTTTTTTTTTTTGAGACAGAGTCTCATTCTGTTGCCTGGGGTCAGCCTAACTCGTAGCAACCTCAAACTCCTGGGCTCAAGCGATCTTCCTGCCTCAGCCTCCCAAGTAGCTGGGACTACAGGCATGTGCCACCACACCTGGCTAATTTTTTCTATATATATTAGCTGGCCAATTAATTTCTTTCTATTTATAGTAGAGACGGGGTCTGGCTCTTGCTCAGGCTGGTTTTGAACTCCTGACCTTGAGCAATCTTGCTATCTCGGCCTCCCAGAGTACTAGGATTACAGGCATGAGCCACCACGCCCGGCCTATTGTAGTGTTTTAATTGTAATGTTTTTATGGTTTGATTTCGTTCATTAATTCAACATCCATCAAAGCACCTCCCGTGCCCTGTCTCAGGCGGATCCTGGGTGGGGTGGAGAGAAGGTGCCAACTGGTAAGATCTTGCCTCAAGTACCTCAGAGTCTAGTCTCAGCCCATTAAGATGCTGGGTATTTAACTGCTTTTTTTTTAGATAGTGAGTTTAGGGAGAACTATTAGTAAACCGTGTTGAATGGTTTGTGTGTGTCTGTCTGTTTTAGTGCTCCAAGGGTATACCATTCCTAAAGGCACCCTGATCCTGCCCAACCTGTGGTCCATACACAGAGACCCAGCCATTTGGGAGAAGCCAGAGGATTTCTGCCCTCATCGATTTCTGGATGACCAAGGACAACTTATTAAAAAAGAAACCTTTATTCCTTTTGGGATAGGTTAGTTAAACTTTTATTTTTTAATGGCATAATTTAAAAAAGAAGTAGAACTAAAAGAATCTTATTTTGTGTTGTTGTTTTTAAAATATTTCTTGGCAAGCTGATGTTAAGAGAAGAGACACACACACACACAAAAGAAGAGACAAATAATTTAGATAACACATATCCATTAAGTTCATTTTAGATTTTAAAAATAAAATGAAAGTAGTTGGTTTTAAATCTTTCAATATGACTAGAAATCTTCCTTTCTAGTCACCAAGGAAGTAGAACTAAAAGAATCTTTTAGTAAAAAGTCTGATCAGCATGTGTTGTGGAGGCTGTGTGGTATAGGTGGCAATTTTATTTTTAAACTCTGTATCTGCATTTAAAATACTCAATTTAGATGTTTCATATAAATTTGTACTTTTTGAAATAGGAAAAGGGGATGGCAGTATAATTCTTTAATTTTTTTCTGACCTCATCTCTAGGTAAGCGTGTGTGTATGGGAGAGCAGCTGGCGAAGATGGAATTATTCCTGATGTTTGTGAGCCTGATGCAGAGTTTCACATTTGCTTTACCTAAGGATTCTAAGAAGCCCATCCTGACTGGAAGATTCGGTCTAACTTTAGCCCCACATCCATTTAATATAATCATTTCTAAGAGATGAAGAGCATCTCCAGGAAGAGATGGTAAAAAGATATCTGAACATATAAATATAAAATATATAAATTTGTGTCCTTCCAAACAGATTCTTCCTGCTGTAGTTGACAGTGTATGCAGCAACTCAGCTGGTCCAGGTTAGGCCTAGATTAGAGAAAGACTGGAAAAGCTGGAGCCCCTGGGAGCTTTCATCCTACAGGATTCCTCAGCAGGATATGTCAGCCATTTTTGTAATGCAAGTCTGTGATTTTGGGAATGGGAACCTAGGAAACATGGAAACAGGAGACCTGGATTTTATTTGTGGTGGCTTCTACCACCGAACCTATCTTCTCTTCACCCAGTGCCTCAGATATCCCAGGTGTAAAACGAGGGTAACAAAACTTGCCTTCTCTCTACCTCTCAGTACTAATGAAGGTCGAATGCCTCATATCTTTTCTGATATCATTAAAATGCTGTTAAATTCTGGAGAAGAAATTCAGGAGTAAAAGAAGATACACCTGCTGGCTTCTTGAGACCTATGACAACATAAAAGCGGTGTTCAGCCTGGAACACTTTGTTAGGGAGGGATGTGGATTTTTTAGGTAATACTGAGGTAGAACTTTTCTCAGCACAGATTCTATGTCAGTTTCTTTGGGTTTGTTCTGTTCTTGCCTTTTTGTTTATGATTTTAGTTTTTATTTTTTGTAGAAATGGGATGAAGTGGACCCTTGTCTAGTATGTTAAGGAAAAAAAGAAATTAAGATTTTTAAAAATCCCTTATAAAATTATTGTCTAAATTTGTATGTTTGTGTTCTAGTTCAACTACATGAGCCGGGAGCCAGGCTAAAGAAGTGGCTTCCTCGCAAAATTCCTTCCTGCTGGATTATTTGCAAAGATGTAGCTCTGCCCTTTGATTCAAGCCCTGAATGGTGGCTGCGGGAATTTTGATACTCGGATTCATCAGGAAAGGTTTCTTCTTTCAAACCATATCAAAGGTTCCTTTCCTATTTCTCCCTGCTCCCAGGCCCAGTGTATCTGATCCTTGAATACTCTCGAAGACAGGAAGGTATTCCTATTCTTTATTAAGATAACTAAAGTGTTTGTTCATATAGAAGACCCCTCCAAAACAGCACTTCTCAACAGGGAGTGTAACCCCCTTCAGGGCGAGTTTGGAAATGTGTGGGTGTGGTTTTTTTAAATTTTTTTGAGACAGAGTCTTGCTTTGTTGTCCAGGCTAGAGTGAGTGCCGTGGCGTCAGCCTAGCTCACAGCAATCTCAAACATTTGGGCTCAAGCAATCCTCCTGCCTCAGCCTCCCAAGTAGCTGGGACTACAGGCACATGCCACCATGACTGGCTAATTTTTCTCTATATATTAGTTGGCCAATTAATTTCTTTCTATTTATAGTAGAGATGGGGTCTCGCTCTTGCTCAGGCTGGTTTCGAACTCCTGACCTCGAGCGATCCACCCGCCTCGGCCTCCCAGAGTGCTAGGATTACAGGCGTGAGCCACCGTGTGGCCTGGGTGTGTTTTTTGGTTATGATAATGATGGAGGTGCTACTAAACTTTGGCTGCCTTGGGACAAGGATGCTGAGTGTAGAAGCAGTCCTGTACCAGGAAGAGTTGTCCAGCCCAGCGTGCCGGAATTTACCTAGTGAGGTGACGCTCTGAAGAATGAGCACCCCTTTCCTTCATTCTGCCACGGGACTCTGTGTGTAGATGTACCCACGGTAACAGTATGAGCAACCGTCTTTCTGAGCCTTTCCTCATGCTAGTAGCATACTGAATGCATAACTTGTAAGCTTATGTAATTCTTACAGAAATTCTGTTACGAGGATGAAGCTGAGGCTTAGAGAAATTAAGGCACATAGTTTAAAAGTAGCATCATTGGGTTTTGAATCTGGTTTCTGTCACTAGAGAGCACTTTCTGATCCACCTGTTGGTCCTGCCACTTCTTGATCCCATAGCAGGCTGCCCCTCTGTGGTTCTGTGTATCCTTCTTCAACAAGGACTGAGCCCCTCCGGGGAGGGGGTCATGCTGTCTGCCTCCTCACAGTGCCTTAGGGATGCCTGGTCCACTTGTGACTGACTTAAGAAGTGTACTTAAGGGGAAAATCCCACCCCATTTGAATAAATAGAGGTCACATTTTTATTGCTTAAAAGTAATAAAAAAATCAGTGTGTGTTATTTGTTAATGTCAATTAAAGCCAGCTTTTAAAAAAATTACTGGACTTTTGTTCATCATTTAAAACAACTATTTTGAACAAACTTAGAATGATGCCTTAGCTGTTTAAATATAACACAGATTGTAAGCCCCAGGCAGCTGGAGACTAGCTCACAGCCAGGGCCTCTTAATCACTTTTCCCAAAACAGAGAATCTGCTACTGCCTTTCCTGTTGATAGAGAAGAGGGAAAGAAAAGATTCAGAGTGGTTGCTACGTTGAGAATTAAATGGACAAGAGAGGAGGCAATTCTGAACTTGAACACTTCAGTTAGGCCTCCTGTGACTGGACACATCTCCCTGCTCTAGTTTTCAGACCAGTGGAGGCGCCAGATCTCCCCAACCTCTGACTTCATCTGTTTATAGCCAAACTTTGAGTAGTCAGATCTTCTTAGTCTGTGAATGGCATTCCAGGACAATTTTGAATTCAAAGCTAGATTCTTCCTTTGATTTAGCACATTCCTAGGCAGACTTTTGCATGCTCAAGAATGGAAATAATATCTGCTTAATACAAACATAATAAGAGAAAGAAGAAAACTGAATATTATATGGTCAAATATGGATTGATTTTTGACTTTATATTCTTTATATTCTACCATACTACTCTTTTCCTTTTTAGAAATATACTTAAGCACTTTCAATATAGATAAATGAAATACAGGCTAATCTTTAGGTGCCTTGAGGATTTGTGTTTTTTAGAAAAGAAAACCTAATAGACTAAAGGCAGAGGAGCTGAGTGAGGGAAGAGGTTGTGTAGATTTTAGATGAGATGATAAAAATGTGTATTACACTGCACCTGGAACAAAAGGAAATTTAAGAAATATCTTGGGACAAACCAAAACCAAAACACAACATACCAAAACTTATGGGATGCAATAAAAGTAGTAGTAAGAGGGAAGTTTATAGTGATAAATGCATATATTGTAAAAAAAAAAAAAGAGAGAGAAAGATCTCAAATAAACAACCTAACTTCATACCTCAAGAAACTACAGGGTGCCGGGCGTGGTGGCTCACACATGTAATCCTAGCACTCTGGGAGGCCGAGGCTTGCGGATTGCTCGAGGTCCAGAGTTTGAAACCAGCTTGAGCAAGAGCAAGACCCCGTCTCTACTATAAATAGAAAGAAATTAATTATCCAACTAATATATATAGAAAAAATTAGCCGGGCATGGTGGCGCATGCCTGTAGTCCCAGGTACTCGGGAGGCTGAGGCAGGAGGATTGCTTGAGCCCAGGAGTTTGAGGTTGCTGTGAGCTAGGCTGACGCCACGGCACTCACTCTAGCCTGGGCAACAAAGTGAGACTCTTGTCTCAAAAAAAAAAAAAAGAAAAAGAAAAAAGAAAATAAACTATGGGGGAAGAAAAAGTAATCTCAAAGTTAGAAGAGGAAAGGAAAAAATAAAATTAGAGCAGAAATAGAGAATAGACAATATAACCAAAATCAACAAAACCAATAGTTGTTTTTTTGAAATGATAAAAGTAAGCTGCAAACTCTTTGGTCAGGAATATTGAAAATGCACATATAAATTCAGGAGTAATAAACTTGTTAATGCCGAGTGACTGATGCAATTCAAAGGCATATGAATTCCATCTCAAGAGCAAACTGTCCTGCTCCAGGTGCAGCCTTCCTATCTAGGGAAAGAACTTCCTAGGCAGAGGGAGTAGCGAGTGCAAAGGCCTTGGCGCAGGAGTGGCCTGGAATGTCCCAGCAACACAGGGAAGCAGCCTGTCTGAGCAGAGGAAGTGAGAAAGCACAGCAGTTGGAGATGCGATAGGGTTGGGGGCGGGGGTCTCTGAGGGTAAAACCTCTGGCTTTTATCTGAGTGAGCCGGACCCATGGGAGGGTTTTGAGCAGAGAAGGGACATGATCTGACGTACAATTTAAATGGTTGATTTTTGTTTTCCTCTTAATTGTTTCTTCAAATTTTCTTATTGCTTTAAAAGCAAATGAGCGATGTCCTGCTAGACTGAATTGCTCACCTGTAAAGAATTATGACTGATTTCTTACAGCATAGAGTCTTTTGGGTACATGATACTGTAATATTCATCTGTAAAATGAAAGCCTCAATAGCTCTTACTAAGGCATACTGAACATTTTTAATTGAAAACTTTTTTAGTCTAAAATGATGATAGGCTAGGGTTATTTGTTTGGTTGTTTGCCATTCCTTCCCACCCAACTGGAATAGGTTTTTGTTTGTTTGTTTGTTTGTTTGTTTTTTTACAGAATTTTAGAACCAAAACAGAGTTTAGAGATGATCTAATTTAGTCTCCTAATAGATAAAGAGATGGAGAGATTAGAAGTGAAATGACCAGCCTGGGGACTCTTAGATCCAGAATTAAAAGCTACACGTTCTGACCCATACGAGGTTCTGTCTAATTCCACCATATGGTCAAAACAATAATAAATTGAGACCAGGATGTCAGATTTTAAGGATGCACCTAAAGCAATCAAAGGTAAGATTCCTACTTCCCATTGTTTCAAGCACCTAAGTTAAATAGTATTGTTTTAAAATATCCATCAGTTTTAAGCTATTCACTTATTCATTCAAGAAAATATGTTGAATGGCTAGTATCTTATGAACTGATAAAATTGTTAAGATGAAGAATTTTGCCTAAGTGAAAAGCTATGCTTGTAGTCCTTTCTCTCAGGTACACATAAAGGAAAGTTTCTTTAAAAATAAAAAATGCTACTAGTATCAGATTTTAAATACTATATGAAATATGTATCCAAAAGTCCTTTTCTGCCCTCTTGTGGCCGAAAAAAAAGATCTCCCAATTAAAAATCTTAAAAAGGCAAAAGTTACATTGGAAATTGAATTTTCTCTGGGTGCCTGGGATTAATTTAATGCGATTTTAGCTGTATAAGCTGTATGTTCATTCTTCCCTATTAACAAGAAATGTGATTGTATGAAAAACAGTAAACCTTTGCTCCTTTCAGGAAACATTTGACCAAGTACATAGACATAAAGTGTAGACAAAGGATATATATACATATTTTTTGAGACAGAGTCCCATTCTTTTTGCCCAGGCTAGAGTGCTGTGGCATCAGCCTAGCTCACAGCAACCTCAAACTCCTGGATTCAAGCAGTCCTCCTGCCTCAGCCTCCCAAGTAGCTGGGACTACATGAGTGTGCCACCATGTCTGGCTAATTTTTTCTATATATTTTTAGTTGGCCAATTAATTTCTATTTTTTTTTAGTAGAGATGGGGTCTCACTCTTGCTCAGGCTGGTTTCAAACTCCTGACCTTGAGCGATCCTCCCACCTCCGCCTCCCAGAGTGCTAGGATTACAGGCGTGAGCCACTGCAGCCGGCTGACAAAGGATATTGACACGAACTTTTGGGGCCATAAACAACAAAGAGCTAATTTCTCTGAGCACTTGGATTTGGTCACAAAAGGACGGCCAGCCTGTTTGAGAGGGGTCGCTGTTGCTTGTGATATTTTATGGGAAGCTGAAAAGTTTACCCTTGGCAACCAGTGGCTGTTCACACCACGCATTATGTATCATCCTTACTAGAACGTAAGGGAAGCTTGTGGTAAGGGCTGGCCACTTGGGTGAATACCAGCCTACTTTGTCAGATAATCCTAATACAACTCTGAAAGTGGTGTCCACCTTAAATCCAGCCACCCTGCTGCCTAGGGACTCTTCCCCAGTCCACGATTGTACTCAAATTATCAACCAAGTGTATTCAAGTTGCCCCAATTCAACTGATCAGCCCCTGCTGGACCCACACAAGGAGCTCTTTATAGATGGAAGCAGCTTTATGAAACAGGAATGATGCAAAACTAGGTATGCTGGGGTTGCCAGCCAACATGTAATAGAGATATAAGCCCTACCCCCTGGGACATCTGCCCAGAAGGATAAATTAATTGCACTAACTAGACTGATTCTAAGTATGCATTTTTGGTGGTACATGCTCATAAAGCTATTTGGAAGAAATAAGGTATCTTATGTCTGAAAATAAAATATGGACCAGAAATTGAGTTATTACAAGCCATTTTACTGCTCAGAGAGGGAGTCACTGTGCACTACTGGGGACATCAGAGAATTGTCTACAGTAGACTTGAGGCCAAAAGAGCAGCCTGGCAACTGTCCAACCAATTGGCCTTAACCCCCTCCCTCCAACTGGACAGCCAGAGACCTCCATTTGTACGATAGTATGTCAGCAAATGATAACACATCAGCTGACAGAAGGACAGGCCAACAGGAGCACGTACACTTGGTGCACCCTCTGAGTATATTTTTTCTGTGGGGTCAATGGAAAAAACTCCTTGGGCCTGTGACTGTCCAAACAGCTGGAAGATGGGCACACTTGCCTGTCAGACATCCCCACTACCCACTTTTTAGTCCATGGCAGGTCAAAAGTTGCCCATTTAACTAGCTCCCTAAACTGTTTTCATGAGTGACTAGAGGAATTTTTGGTGGAAATTCCTCTGGGTGACACTGGGTCAACATTTCCCTGCAGTAATCCCAGAGGGGGATGGGTACTTCTATTGATATACTGCTACCTTGGTGGGGAGAGGGTGGCAACTTAATGACGTTTACTAAAAACTTTCAGTTACAAGCCCAACATCTTCATTCTTCCTCATTCCCCAGCTACATCCCATTTCAGCAGGAAGTAGCCAGACAGGTCGATGTCCCTATTTTCCAAGATTGAGGAATGAACCAAAAAGAAGAAGGGAGTTGTAACTAGCTCCACAAATACATTTCAATGACCCCTATATATATATTTTTAATCCTCTCCCTTAACTAATGACTTGAACTTTTGAGTTTTTCCCAGAATGGTGGGTTTTCTGCAAGACAAAGGATTTGAGGTTCTGAAGGCCCCTGGCAGACTCCTGATGACCCACCACCCCCCACAAGCTCCCCCCATGCACAGAGCCCCTTGTTAGTTACACCACGCCCTGCCCCATGCACAGAGCCCCTTGTTAGTTACACCACGCCCTGCCCAGAGCCCCTTGTTAGTTACACCACGCCCTGCCCCATGCACAGAGCCCCTTGTTAGTTACACCACGCCCTGCCTCATGCACAGAGCCCCTTGTTAGTTACACCACGCCCTGCCTCATGCACAGAGCCCCTTGTTAGTTACACCACAACCTGCCCCAAGGCATGCGGCCCCTCCTTTAAAAGCCCATGAACTCCATTAGTTGGGAGATATATTTGAGGTAGCTTCTCCTATTCTCCCAACAAGATGTCCGACAAGACATTTTCAAGGCTTAAGTGCTCTGAACCTCGGTTTCTTCACTTTTAGGTGAGGACAGCATGAAAGGCTTAGGGTTGTTACAAAGAGGCAAAACGGCATATGGTCAAGAACATGACCCGTGAAAAGAGACTGTCCTGGATTTGAATTCTGCTGGTACCATTCATTAGCTGTGTATAATAACTTTAGCAAAGTTTCTAAACCTCTCTGGGCCCCCATTTCCTTACTTATAAAAGAGGGACACCCTTAATACTTACCACATGGGGTTATTTTGAGTATTTAATTAATTATTTCATGTGAAGTGCCTAGCACAGTGTGGAACATAGAAATGGGCTCAGTAAACATTGGCTGCTACCACATGCAAAACCATTTAACATAAGCAAGTAGTATATAAGAAAACTGCTCAAAGTGCTGGCCTTCATTATTACCATTGTTGTTAAGGCTAGTAAATGGTTAACTTTAGATATATAAAACTTCACACCTGAAATCCTAGGTAGGTACATCGAAAGGTATAATTTCTATAAAAGGCCATATTCTCTAGGTCATTTCTCCCTTGGATGGTAATGAATTTGTATTGCACCATCCTCATCATCCCACTTGGTGAGACCTGTGATCTCATGCAAGCATTTTGGAGATTGCTGGCTGAAGTTAGAAATACAGTTCATTCTCAATATTTCAGGAATATTTCACTTCCTATAAGACACAAAAAGAATCCTAACCTACACTCAGTGAATCCCCACAATGCTTATGGTGAAATAGGCAACTGTTTCCCTGTGTGCAAAATCTGTGTTTGGGGTGGAAGGAACATTTCACCTCCTTAGCAACAGAGTAAAAATAAACTCTCACTCACATTGTAAAATACGCACCTCCAGTGAATCTTTTCTGGTTGTACAGAAGCTTCCCCATGCAGTAAGGCCAATGCTCCAACAGTAGCTAAAAGATTATTGGAAAATGTGTTTCCCTTATGGGGCATTGCTGTGGAAATTTCCAGAAATGGAGGTAGTCATTTACTGGACAAGTTGTAAAACAGTTAAATAAGGTATTACAAACACAATAGCATCAGGAAAAGCTAACTGAATTGATTAGATTGCCTTGGTGAAAGGTATTACTAATAGATGGCAATCAGATCCACTCCCATTGGAAAACATAGATTGAACTCTTATGAAATAGTTACTGGAAGGCCTCATGTATTTTTCACTCTCAGGAACTCTGACTCAGTAGTACAAGGCTTTAATGTATTATGCCAAAGCATATTTCCACTAGGTGAATGCAGCCCTTCATGACCCAACAAGTGACGACAACCAAACTTTTCACGATCTGGAACCTGGAGATTGAGTCTTTTGGAAATGACTCTAGAGAAAGACTGCCTTTAAACGCTGTTGAAAGGGACATACCAAGTTCTACTATGCAGCGAAACTTCAAGGCATCAAATCTTGGATCCACAACTCTCAACTCAAAAAGACTCCTAGAACTGTATACCTGTTGGAGACCTTAAAATAAAGCTGACCAGAGAACATTTTCCCTACGGCAGATGGCATCCCATATACGGACAGCTTTCCTAGGATTGCAGATGAAGACTTCTTTGCCATTGCGAAAGCCTTATCTTTTTTCCTCCCCCCATCCTATTTCCTGCTGTTGTAATTCCTTCCCTTTCATTACAGAAAATCTATGGGACAATAATCTGTGAATGGCTTTAGCAAAGGCTTATGCTCTAGCAAGAAACCAGAGCAATTGTTGGGTTTGTGGACTAATGCCCCCAAATCAGGAAACAATGCCACTAATGCCAATGCCTCTCTGTGCTCCTAATGATACTCACCCTGAATCCCAACAGAAGAGTGGAAAGCTATCCATGATATTCTAGACATCACTGCTACTTGCTTTCCTACACTTGCTGGAAATAGTACGCTTACCTTTCCAATTAATAACCTAATTGCCACCGAATATACAAAACCTAGGTAGGGGTGGGGGGAACGAAGAGAGTTCCTCAGTGGGTACAAAATTACAGTTAGTTAGGAAGAGTAGGTTCTCATATTTTATTTCACAGTAGAATAACTAGCTAATAATAATGTGTATTTCAAGATCGCTGGAAGAGAACATTTTGAATGTTATCACCACAAAGAAATGATAAATGTTTAAAGTGATGGATATACTAATTACCCTGATTTGATCATTATTCAATGTATACATGCATTGAAATGTCACACTGTACCCCATAAATGTGTATAATTATAATATGTTAATTATAAATAAAATAAAACTTAAAAAAAAAACCCAGAAAGCCCGTTAGAGTGATACCTGCAAAAGAGACATCATGCTTCCAGGCTTCCTGTACTCAAGACCTGAAGGCCACCTACATGGGTACAAGTAATTGCTTGTATGATGTCACCATATTAAATCTAGTGATGTGCTTTTCCATTAAATGTGACTTGCACCCTTATAGCATGCTACAAAGAGACCACAAAAAGTTTCCCACTGGACCCTGTTCAGGAGCTATGCAGACTTACAGAAGAACAAATTGAACTGACTGCTCAAAGACCACTAGATGACCCTCTTTTCTATGGCCTACCGTGGATCTGTGAAGAGTTTGCTTACTCTGTTTTGCTTCTTTGTTGGTTCAGATCTTGCTATTTGCTAGTCACTCCTGCCTTCCAAAGAGCTTTCCTTGAAAGTTCCAATAATATCTGCCATAGTCAAAATCAGAAATTAGTACATCTCAAAATAGATGACAGTAAGCTAGTTTTCACTGAGGAAATGTTCTAGTGGGGTTACTGGAGGCTTACTCTTGGCAGTAGTGGGGTGCTGGTTGTATTGAATTATGGAATTTGAAACTAATCCATAAATTAGGGAAACTCTTGGATTTTGTAGCCAACCAGACATCCCAGGGGTTCAGATGGGTAGAAACCACTCTCCAAAAAGTGAATGAGTACATCCACATTCAACAAAAACATTAAATGGGGCATTATACAACTTTAGATCTCCTCTTTGCCCAGGTTGGGGACTTGTGTATGAATGAAACCAAATGCTGCACTTTATCTTTCCTCTAATTTAAATACTACAGCATCTTAATTTAAAAGGTGGCAGCACTGCCATTTCTCTAGACACTTCCACTGAATACATTAAGGAAATTTCTCAGGGGAAAGGAACACATGAAATGTGTAGGGGAGCAGCTAACAATTGGTTTGCAGGCATCCTGAATGGTAAATCTCAGGCTTGGTCATTACAAGCTTTGCTAATTTTTATGCTTCTTTCAAGTGAGTCTCCAGGTTATTATGATTTGTGTTGCCAGGCTGACTACAAAAATGGACCCCTTTTAAAATCAGGCCATCAGGCTGAATCAGGCCATTCAGCGACCTATGACCCTTAATCATTGTAGTGCCCTGAACAAAGATTATGACCAATTGGCCCTCAATACTGTTGAATTATCTTTATTGCCTGGACTTTGAATTGTTTGATTTTACTCAGTTCAGTTTGCAGAGACTCATGTTAAGGAGTGTACCTCAGTTTATTGATATTATCTTCCTGTCAGCCATCATAATTGTCTCCGATGTGTTCTTTCCCCTCAAGAGGTTAAATGCTTGTATGCAGCCATCCTTTGTTCATCAAATGGTGTCTTTACAATTAGAATAACACCATGAAGAAAGCAAAATCATCCAATGAATTGTGAATTCCATACTGAGATCAAACCGATCCATTATGACAGTGACAGAAAGTGGTGTCAGTGTACAAGGTTTAGGTCAATCTCTCAACATTGAGAGGCTGACTAAAAGGGGGAAATTGTTAAATTAAATTAAATTTGGCTTAAAGCTGTCTACCTACACAGTCAGCTCTAACTGTAACCTATCTTAATATGTAAATAAACTGAAGTTTAACCTGATTATGGTCTTGTAACAAGTAGATGAGTCTCAATCATAACAGCCAAGCTTTTGGCTGATCACAGGTTGCAAACTGCTCTGTTATGTCCAAATGAGGCAAATGGGAACCTTAACCCAGTCACGGCATTTCCCAATGTCATTTTCTTTTTCTCTCTATAAATACTGCCTGCCTGCTCTTGCTGAGTGAAGCTCTCTGAACCTCTTTGGGTTTAGGGTGCTTTCTGATTCGCAATACATTTCTTTCCTCAAACTCTGCTAAATTTATCTTAAGTTTTTCTTTTAACAATTAAAAATAAATGAACAAAAATTCTATATCACTAAGGCACAGTAACTAGAAAGTGCACACGAGTGAAAAGATTGAGCTAGCTGGTATCAAGCTTTCTATTATTTGGGAAGGCAGTCCTTTCCTGTGCTCTCTAGCATCATCAGTTGCTCCGCGAAGGCTGTTCTTGGGCCTTACACAGTGCGCATGTGCAGCCTTACACAGTGCGCATGTGCAGCGCATCGGCGGGTGTCCGCCACTGAAAGCACAGCCAAAAGTCCCCTCTCCGGCTCCTCCTCCTGGGCCTGACCTTTTCACTGGAACTCGTGGGTCACTAGATTCGTTTTGGGTGTTAGCAGTCTAAGCTTTTCACCCCTTTAACGATCAACAGTGAAACGATCACTGTTGACAGGTTAAAGTAATCCCTAGAGTCGAATATTTGGCGACCTCAACCAAGGTGCACATTGGGGTCCATTGCCACCCCGGCCAGGAGGCACGTATTTACTCGGCGCCCCAGCTGTGCGCAAGCATCAAAGGAGAGGATTTACCGAATCGACGCCACGCAATTCATCTAACAAGGCACCAGCAGCTTTTCAAAATAAGGGCTTCCCGGTCCTGCTGCGCAGTCGGACCCCGGCGGCGCTCAGCCCGGCAGCGGCGGGAGGCAGCGGCCCGCGTCGCCCATTTGGGTCCGGACGGCGCGTTCAGACGTTCGAACGTGGCGCCCGCGGCCGGGGCCAATGGGCGGAGCCGGCCTCGAGTCCCCGCCCCGCTGCCCGCTGACGTCACGGGGCCGCCGGGGCGCGCGGCGCCGCCGCCATGGTGTCCGCCCACAAAGGTCGCCCGGCCACTGGCGCCCGCGGAACCTTCCTCGCCCGGGTCCCGTCGCTGTAGCGGCCGCCGCCCCACCATGGCCTTCGTCACCAGGCAGTTCGTGCGCTCCGTGTCCTCCTCGTCTGCCGCCTCGGCCGCAGCCAAGAAAATCATCGTCAAGCACGTCACGGTGATCGGCGGCGGGCTGATGGGCGCGGGCATCGCGCAGGTGAGCCGCGCGCGCCCGGTGACGCGCTGGCGGGAGGCCCGCGGGCCGCGGACTGCGGGGATTGCCCCCGCCCTGCCCCGCGCGTCGGGCCTGTGGGGCGGCGGCCTCCACCCGCCAGGGCTCTGCGTCCCTGGGCAGCTCCGCGGTCTCCGCGGCTCCAGGCTCTGGCCTTCGCAGGGCCGGGAAGGCTCCCTGCGGAGCGTCGGGGCGTGCGCCTCCAACCCGGCCAGGGGAGAAGAGAGCGTCGGGGCGTGCGCCTCCGACCCGGCCAGGGGAGAAGAGAGCGTCGGGGCGTGCGGCTCCAGGCGTGGCCTTGGGCTCGCGGCTGGGCTCAGACAGGAGTTTGCGTCCAGAGACATGGACTGCCACTGGTTCTAATTTTATGTCTCAGTTATTTTGTGTGATAAGTCTGCATTCTCTGTCAGAGTGGTTTCCTCGCCTAAACTGTCTCCTCCCTCTCCACCTGGGTACTGTCGCTCGCTGGGTTGCGAAGAGTCACAGACGTCACTTTTGTAGCACTTTGTTTATAAAATCTCCGAATCAGAGCTTGCCGCCTAGGGCGGCGCAGGCGACTTTGACCTTTGACGTAGTGACCTCTGTGCAGAGTTCTGCGCCGTTTGGGTACTGAGGAGGGGAGGGGAGGGGGAGAGAGAGGGCCCAGGTGTGGTCTCTAATCTCCAGCGTCTGCAGGACTTTCCACTGTTCGGCAGCGCTGTGGTTCAGGGTCAGTTGTGCAAGTGATTGCCTGGATACTGTAATGCTTGTACTTTATTATTTTTTTTAACACTTATATTCCAGCTCACATTGGAGAACCATGATTTTCATATCCTAGCTGATTATATTCTTAGCATTTCAGTCCTTTGCAACTTGGATTGTTGGGCTTGGGGCAGTTGTGGTCATTTACTTTTTCATGGAGAGCATATTTAAGTGCAGTGGCTACATTCGTGAGAGAGTTTAATTTTTCAGTGTCTATATCCAACCAAGTCTCCATGCTTGCTTTAAAAAAATTTTTTTTAGTATTATATATCTTAATTTTCCCCTCCCTGCTTATTTTTACAGCGTATTAACTTAATTGCGTTTTATCCTAAAATCTGTATTTCTGTAGTGTTATATCCTTCTGACTTCTCAGTTTCCCATTTCTTCTGAGACCATGTTTTTGGACATGATGTTTCCCTTTTTATTGTGTGGTTGCTCTGGCTGCTAGGATATGGTGTCCCCATAATCTGTGTTATATATGGGATAGGAGGAATAAGTCTCTTAACCTAAAAGTTGCAACCTTATACTCAAGAGAAAGTTTAGTTTGAGTGCACTTGTATCCCTTGGCTACATCAAAATCTCCCAAGGCTATGAGAGAGAGATTTGTTGTGGGAAGAAATAAAACAATGTATTTGTTTCAAACATTTAAACAACATATTAGTAACAATATATTAGGGCCTTAAGCCTCCATTAACAGTATAGGAAATGGGTCCCGAAAAGCTTGTGAATGGTGTCCTTGAAGATAGCAGTTGAAGAGGATTAGAAACTAAGTAGAAAGCATGACCTCAACTTCTGTATAAAGTCAGGATGTTCAGTTCCTGGAATGCTGTGTCCATCATTGGCCAAAAAAGGATTTCGTGCTGCATGAAAGGGCAGAGAGGCAGCACCTAAAATTATGGGTATAGTACTGGAGGTTTTACCTCCCTCTTCTCCTGAGAGAAGAGGGAGTAGAAATGGTTGACTTTGATGGGAACACAAACTTGAGAATCAAATCCTTGATTAGTTGGACCAGGGAATGCCTTTTGAAACTTGTAGGGGGAACAAGAGAACTATTTACCCCTTAGGCTGGAAACATAATGTCATTCCAAAAGGTAAAAAGGTAATAAAGCCCAGAAGTCTACATGGTGAACAGTCCTAAGAAACAGTAGTTCCATCCCATGTAACACAGTTTAGGAGAACCTCAGTTACTTTAAGTGACAACTTTAATCCTGTGGAGGGAAACCATCTGTCCCCCAAAATATCTCTGTGTGCAGTGTTTTCAGTGGTTTAGCAACAGCACTCTACCCAGTAGCCTTCAGTCCTACACAATGTTGCCTCATTCTTTATGCTCCTTGACCAACAGCTTTTGACACAGGGTAAGTCTGTTTTGCTTATTGAGTGCCACTGACTAGTTGGTGTGTTTTGAGTACAGATGGGCTCCAGGTCACTGTAGGGAGATGGATGGTCTGCATGTTGCCTCTGCCACAGCTGGCTGTGTTGACATGGAAAAGTTGCTTTACGTAGGTGCCTTGAGTCCCTAATTGCTAAAGTAGGACTAATACTAGTACTGTCCTCATAGGGGGAGGATTGAGTGAATTAGCACATGTCAAGCACTTAGCAGTGTCTGGCACATAATAAGAGCTCGCAGAATGTTAGCTGCCTTTGGGATTATTATCTTCATTGTAGTTGTCCGTGTCCTTTTGCCCTTTTCCTCTCATGTGCCCTCCCATCCATGATTGTTGTTGCTGAGGTCGTGCTCTGATATTTTGATGGAGAATATTGGTCACAATTCCCTGCTCCATCTTGCTTAATCTTGAATGCAAAGGCCAGCTGATACTACAGGAACCTCTGAAAAGGAGAAGGTTCTTTTTATCCTACCCCTCATTTTGTTGTTAAACCTTAGCAAAGCCATCAAATAAAAGCACAAGCTAGCATCTAGGTTATGCTACTAAGTCACGTTTAGCTTCATTCTCTTGAACTTTCTGAAGTAGTTTTAATGTTAAGGTACAGTTCTGCTTACAGTTTTAATTTTTTAAATGCATCATTTTAAACAGGTGTTCCAGTTTGTGCTGAGTAGGTTGGAAAAATTTAAATAGATTTTGTGGTAGGCAGATGCATTTCTCAACCAATTAAGCAATTTAAGACAAGTGAGGTCCATGCTTAATTACATTTGTTCAGAGCACAGGTCTTTTGCATGCGTGTATTTTCCCAGAGTATCTACTTCGCTTGTCATTTCTTTTGTTTGTTTTAAATTTTTAAAAAAAATCCCTTAGACTGCAGGTTAATATTTAAGTAAGTTAATTTGTTTTATGTGTTTGCCTATTATACACTTCTGCCTTGGTTTTGATTACCAATTTATCTTCACCGGATACTTAGGCCAGCAAAAAAGCTTATAGTATTAAATGAACCTTGAGCACAGGGCACAGGTTTTTTGCTTTATAAATGAAGAAAAAGGAAACACAAGAAGAAAGCTTCTAGCAGCTACTAGCTGTGTGCATTTCTGTGGTCATGAATCTTCATATTCTTCATCTTCCTTCTCTTCCTCCTCTTTCTTGTTTTTTTCAGCCTTGACAAGTTCTTTTTTTCATTGCTGCATCAGGCTTTCCTTTAGCTCAGTATGCAGCATATTCCTTTTCGTATTTTTCCTTCAGCTTTGCAGCCTTCTTTTCTAAGGCTGCTTGTCATCTGCTGTGGTGTCATTCCTTATCTCTCCTTTGCCCATTACCAATGGATAGGCTGGGATATTTTCTTTTGATTTGGGGGCGACACTCAGAACAGAACAAAAGGCTGAAGGAGGCCTCTTGGGTACACTGGGATCACTGAACTTCTTTTTTGCTTCCCCTTTAGGAGGGATTTAGGTTTTCATTTCTCTTTCATAATCAGCCTTATCTGACATTGCCATATCTTTAAATTTTCCTTTCTCTTTAGCAGACATGGTCTTCCACCTCTCTGAGCACTTCTTACAAAACTCTGAGAAGTTGACTGAAGTATCTGGGTATTGTGCTTCTCAACAGATCTGCACAAAGAAGGCAGATAATGACATTTTGCCTCTCAGCTTCTTAGGATCTCCTTTGCTCATGTTTAGTTATTTTTCCTCAGTGAGGCTCAGAGTCACCCAGTGCCCATCTGGCTCTCGCATGCTCTGGGGCTGTCTCTGTGGAGCTCAGTATGCTGCAGGGGCTGTCTGGGTATTGCAATGAATTCATGCTCATAAAGCATTTTGAACAGAGCCTGGCACATTAAAAAAAAAAAAAACAAAAAACTCTCCAAGTATGACATTTTATTTTGTTTAAAGCATTTTGATGTCTGTCATTTCATAATAGTGACCCCTGCAGACATGGTGCTTAGGGTCAAGGATCAGAGGTAGAACTGGGGCCAGAACTTAGGTCTCTCTTCTGTTCTGCTGTCTGGAGATCCCTGCAGCTGAGATAACTGCAGCTTTGCCTCCACCTCTGGCCCGCGCTATCTTGTGGAGAGAAGTGTGGCATCCATGGATGAGGGAATCCTCTGGATATCTGGAATCAGCAGATACCAGGTGGACCTATCCTCAGCTCGAGACTCAAAGCAAGAGTGCTATGTTGCCACATTTCTGCCCATAATAGACTCAAACTCACCTGCCAAGACTTCATTCATTATGTTCCTTCCTTCTCCCCCTTCCATCTTTTCCCAAGGAGTTTCCTCCTCCTGTGACTGCTATTGTCATTCTTCAACCATATGTACTCTGAAGAGGGGTTATGGTCAGTGCCGCCTCTGTTCTGGAAAAGGCTTTGTAACTTTCGTCTCCGAGGAGGGCTCTTTTCTCTCTCCTTTATAGTTCCTGGACTAGACGTGTAACCTGAATTGTTATGGGAATCCCTGTATTGGTCCTTTCAGCAATAGCTAAAAGAAAAAAATTGCTCATCATAACAAACACTGCCATATTATTCTTCCTCGAGAACAGTTTGGATTTGTAACACTCCTGTACCCAGAAAGTATCCATCATGGCAACATCTCAGGGATTCTTTTCTTTATTTTTTTGAGACAGAGTCTTACTTTGTTGCCCTGGGTAGAAGGGTAGAGTGCAGTGGTGTCATCATAGCTCACAGCAACCTCAAACTCCTGGACTCAAGTGATCCTCCTGCTTCAGCCTCCCCAGTAGCTGAGACTACAGGCAGTGCCACCACACCTGGCTAATTTTGCAATTTTTTTTTGTAGAGATGAGGCCTCGCTCGCTCTTGCTCAGGCTGATCTTGAACTCCTGAGCTCGAGTGATCCTCCCACCTCAG